CATATATACCACCTTCAAGAAACCATCACCAGGCTTTAACAGCAAATCCTGTCCTCCTTTAATTGACAAATCATCTCCCAGAAGCCCTTTGAAGACTCTAGCACACTCCCCACCGGGACAGGGTCAAGACCCTGGCAAACAGCTTTTGTGCCTCATCCCTAGTCAGCCTTTTTTGGGCACTGGCTTATCTTGACTTCCTATTTTTTAGTGGTATGAACCCACTAGCTGACTTGACTTCCTGGTTCCCACTTAGGCTCCTCTAACATTTATCCCCTTTCCTGATGTAAATACTGGAATTGGTAACTATATTTAAAGTTCTTTGCTACTGTATAATGGCAGATCTTAAAAATAGTATCCTGGGTAGGGCTATATCCAGACTGTCTACCAATACCCAGCACTGGTCTTCCCCATCCAGGTCAAGGCATGACTTTGTCCATGGCATCGAGGACCCCCAGTCCTCAGCATGCTCACCTGATAATACTGAGCAAAGTGATCCTCCAGTCAATCCACTTGGTGATCATCCACAGCTCTCACCACAACAAAGCCCGCAGGTATCTTTGGTATTTGTTGGTTCCTCAAATGTCTGGCCATGGTTTTGTGGTCTCTTAAACTCCATTCATCTGAAGGTTTGGGGGAGGTTTCAGAATCTAGGAGCCTGTCACAATAGAAAAATAAAAATGGAAAAAAGAGGAGAACATCCGGATTAAAGAATGAAATATATTAATTGTGGCACCACTTTACCTTTAAATTGAGGTGATTCCTGATCAAATCTAAGGGCCTTTTCTCAGCCTGTCACGGTAATTCTTAAGCAGGGGTGGTCTGTCACTCCAGAGGATTTATGGCAAAATCTCTTGACATTTTTTGCTATTACAACTAAGGGGATGCTACTGGCATCTAGTGGGTAGAGACTGGGGATACTGCTCAACATCCTGCAGTGCACAAGACAGTCAGCATAGCAAAGAACTCAAATCATACCCAGACTCAAATGTGGCCAGGGCAGATGCTGAGAAATGTAAACTGGGTCTGGCTCCCACCTCTCTCATCTGGACCCGCCCACGCTCCTGGACTTTCTCCTTATTTCTTGCCCAGTACTCCAACTGTTCTTCTGCCAACAAACTTATTTTTTTCTCTGTGGAGTTTTGATCTCATCTAGTGATCTCACATCTTAAGGAGATAGATTGCCAATTTGAATTTACACTCTATACCTTTCTCCTAAACTTTAGGACCTCCTTTCCAAGTAATGGGCTACAAAATCTCCACTGGTGCTCACCCTTCCTGCAGTTCTGCCATGTCTCCAATCAAACTGGCCTTATCACACCTCACTATCCCCTCTCTGGCTCCTCCTCCTGCCTTTGCCGTCCTTCCCCCAGTGTCTCATAATCCAGTCTCTGGCTCCTCCTCCTCCTGTTGTCTCCCTCCAGGACAGGCATAGCCAGAGAGGCCTCTGGGACACCTTAAGTCCCTTTCTCAGCCTTTGGGGGGTTTCAGTTTGTCTGGGTCTTTCTCTTAATGGTGATTGGCAGCCTCAGCCTCCTTTGTGCATAATCCCTTTTGTTCTCTTAATTGGTACCATCCTCCCTCATTGTATCTACCTTTCCATAAAACATGGTTGAAATCTCCAACTGCAGGACAAAACTTTCATCATCCTCTCCATTTTCACCCAAAGGAGCCTCAAAGGTCTTTGCTTGGATGCTCCAGGGAATCTTTCTAAGACCTTATCCAATTTTTCCTGCACTCTCTCCTACTGCTTCCCCGACAGCAAAGGTGGTCTGTCCTGTGTACCCATGCCCCAGGTTTCCTAACATTAGATCCTTTTCCCCAGATAAGCAAATGCCCCAACCCCCTCTTATCATACCTAAGATGTCTGTCCGTCCATGGAAACGAATTATAAACACCAATTTCCTTCATCAAGACTTTCCAAGTCCCTCCAGTTGGAGGTCGTGGCTTTCATTTTTATGCTGCTCTGCCCCTTAGGATGAGGGAGCCCAATCTTTATCGCTTTAATATATGTGCTCCCTTCGCAAAGAACTAATGAATACAAGAACACGAAATAAAAGGGTCTCACGGGCTCATAAGCATGTCAAACAAAGACCTTGAACCCATTTCTCAGTAAATGGTACTCAGGAAGAATGCGAAGCCTGGTGAAAGAAAACCGTCATTGCAGAGGCCCCATCACCGTTTCCGTGGGGCCTTAACACCAGTGTCTACTGACCTTCTTTCCACATGTGCAGGGTTCCACATCCTTGGGGCCTCAACTCCTTATACATCCTGGACCGATGCTCTGCATACGAGCAATAAGCCCTCTCCCCAAGGTCCTGGCCCTACCTCGCGGCCCTGAAAATCTTGTCTCCTCTCACAGCAGCAGCGGTGCCTTCTGTGGGGTTTGTTAGTCTAGCCATCAGCAGCCCCAAGGGTCGGCCTTTGGGAGCCCCTAACCTCCTCACTCGGCCTTTGCTACTTTTGGCGTCAGAAACACTGACGCCTGGGCACCAGCAGTCCTCGTGGCCTTCTAGGCCTGGCCGCCATACACTCGCTCGCAGACAGCTTCCAAGACACTACCCGCACAACCCCTTTGGGCTTTCCAACGCGGCGCCCCCTATTGGACCTCCTACCCATATCCGGTTTCCGGTCCGACGCCCCCTGCTTATTCGCTAGGCAACCTTGATTGGCGTGACCCCAGCCCAATGGCTGACCTGGTGATGGGGTCGTAGGGGAGCGAGTGGTTTGTTTAGATCCAGTCGACCCACTGTGGTGCTCAAATTCTTAAGCAGTTTTGTGTGGGGGTAGTTGGCCAAACTTTGAACCAAAGTTCAGTGTTGTAATGAGCGAGTGTGTAAAACCTTAGAACTGAGGTGACAAGTCTTTGGGAGGCCCCATACGATGCGAAGGGACCAACTTCGTTAGCTTTTTTTTCTGCGCTGCGTGGCCACGTGGACGGTGGATGTAGCGGGATGATACTGCGCCTTGGCTGTGAGACCCTGCTTCAAAGAGGGATGCATTAGACTTAACAACATCAGACCGTGCCGCGTCCGCCCCGTGGATCGCTGGATTGTGTACAGCGATCCACGCGCTGCCCCCTTCTTGCTGCAGCCCACCCTGGGTAACGCCAGTGCATCGGCCATCCCTCCCCCTCTTCCGCAGCCCGGGTCACTACGTGTCCCCAGCCTAGCCTCTCTGACCCTAAACATGGCTCACGCGTCCCTGGCACCTGCTGGTGAGACTGATCGCTATGCGTGCGTGCCGGGTTTTAAGTGAACCGCAAGCACGCAGTTGTTTTTGTTTTGTTTTTTTTTTTTTTGGTTGGTTTGTTTATTTTGTTTTCCCCCAAGCTCAAATCCCTCCTCAGACCCCAAACCCAGAGCAGTGCGCACGCACAGTGAGGCCCCCTGAGCCGGCCAAGCTATTTCCCACCCATGGCCTATGAGTCCACCGCGGCACTGAGAGAGGTGCG